GTACAGTGGGATATCTTTCATTTATTAGCTGAAGTACTTGGAAAAGTAAACCTAAGAGAGCTCCAACGAATAGTGGTAAATCCCCTAATTACATCTAGAGTCCCTGCTAGAAAGGCACATGTGGGGTCCTGGCCACCAAGCAAGTGTTTATTTGGCATTGTCTATTTTACTGTTTTCAAAGAGCACCTCATATTCGGACCAAACGCAGAGTTGTAAAACTTTTCGTATTTTGTAAAAATTTTCAAATCTTGGACTAAAAACATGATGCAGAAATGCTCCAGCTACCTAGAGTCTGTAGTCTCTGCCACTTATAATTTAATATGCAAATGGAATTATCATAACTGATCAGAGAAAGAACATTTTATGAAAGATTTGAAATATAAGCTCTTGATTATGTAACATCCCATGTTCTAATGCACGCCTAAAGGAAAATGCTATGGCGTTTCTCTAGTTGATACTGTGGAATGATCCTTGTAGCCTGAGAATCCCTATTTAACTTCATTCACTTATCTTACATCAGTAGATTGAATCGCTGAACTTTCACAAAGTCTGTCTTATATTCTTAAATACTTTGTATGCCTCGAGACATTCTGGACACTTCAGTTAGGACACTAAGATAAAAAGTTCTAAATTTCTGCCCACCAAAGACTTGCATATTCATTCCTTATTTTCATCGCATTCCTGTAACCCTACGTACAAGGCCATGAAAGTGCACACTCCTCAGAAATATCAGCATTTTGTTTCCTAGCTACTAATCAAATGCAACGTGCAGATTTCATTTTTTGTGTATTTGATTTCCTTAGACAGTACCTAGGAAAAGATGTGAATAGTCATGAATTTTTACATATTCTTTATTACTTTCCTCACAGCTTAGATACACACTGAATATATTTATAGGTGAATTATGGATTTGAAGACTATAAAGGGATTTTATCTCAATAGTAGGAAATCCTCACTGCTACTGGCATTTCTGAACTTCTGGAAGGTTTGAGGTAGTGAGCAGCTATTTTTAGCATGGCAGCCTTCATGTCTCTATTCCGTAGTGTGTAAATAATCGGGTTCAGGATGGGAGTGAAAACAGTGTAAAATATGGCAAGAACTTTATCCACAGGATAGGTGGTAAAGGGCCACACATAGATGAAGATGCAGGGTCCAAAGAATAATATTACGACCATGATGTGAGCAGCCAGTGTAGAAAAGGCCTTGGCCATGGCAGCAGAAGACTTGAAACAAACTGTGACAAGAATAATGACATAAGAGCTCACAAGGGCAGAGAAGGTGCTTAGGGAAAGAATTCCACTGTTCACCACAATTAGTATTTCAGTGATGTAAGAGTCCAGGCAGGCAAGTTTGGCCACTCTAGGAAGGTCACAAAAAAAGCTATCTACTTCATTGGGCCCACAAAAAGGCAGGTTCATAGTAAAAGATAACTGGCTTAATGTATGCACCAACCCCACAGCCCAGGAGATTGCAACCAGGACAATGCATGTCCTTCGGCTCATGATGATCATGTAATGTAAAAGAATTCCACTGTTCACCACAATTAGTATTTCAGTGATGTAAGAGTCCAGGCAGGCAAGTTTGGCCACTCTAGGAAGGTCACAAAAAAAGCTGTCTACTTCATTGGGCCCACAAAAAGGCAGGTTCACAGTAAAAGACAACTGGCTTAACGTATGCACCAACCCCACAGCCCAGGAGATTGCAACCAGGACAATGCATGTCCTTCGGCTCATGATGATCATGTAATGTAGAGGTTTACATATGGCCACATATCTGTCATAGGCCATGGAGACCAGTAGCACCATCTCCCCTCCTGTAAAGAGGTGAATGAAAAAGATTTGGGCTATGCAGCCATTGAAGGATATGGTCTTGTGTTCACTCAGAGAGTCAGCAATCATCTTAGGAGTAGCAAAAGAAGCCTGACAAATGTCAACAAAGGAAAGGTTTCCCAGGAGGAAATACATGGGGCAGTGCAGGCTGCTGTCAGAGGTCACGGTGATGATGATGAGAAGGTTTCCTAACACAATGACCACATACAAGGCAGAGAAGACCACAAAGAAGAAAAACTGGAGCTACTGGGAACTTGAGAGTCCCAGCAACACAAACTCGGACACCACTGAATAATTACCCTTATCCATGGATTCAGGATACAAACCGGTGCTGAAATGCCCCTAGAGGACAGGAAGGGAAAAGAGGTCAGAGCTAGGCAAAGAGCAGTTTTCATGTGTAGGACTCTGAGATCTCTGGAATAAAGTAACTTTACTGAATACCCACTTTTTAAACACTGTGATAACGAAGCTACACAAATAGAAGTTGCTTTTGAGGATGTCTAATAATGCTTAATGGTTTGATCAGTGCCTATTGAACCCTAATATTCTGAACAGGCTTATCTGTTACATAAGAGTAACAGTAATGATTCATTCACGTACTGATCTGCGGTAACACCGGAGGGCTTCCTTAAAACCCGTTCTGCAAACAAGCTTTGTGGATTGGCAAAAACCATCGTGTCTCTTTGCCATATGGTCAGTTTCCATCAATAACCTTTTAAAATGTTTAAGTGTGACATCTGATCTATCTCTAAGGGCTATTCACAGCTTGATGGTGATGTGTGATATAAAGTAGCACTGATTAACTTCAGGCTGATGATTTTCTGTTCTGTCTTTTAAAAGATGGGAGGTATAAATATAGCTCCCTTACAAAAGGTTGCAAAGGAAAAGTATGATAATTCCTGGCATTCTATTATCGAATTAATTGTATTATGATTAATCCTAAAACAGTAAAATTCTATAATATTAAAATGTGTTTTAAAAATGCCCAACTGCTGATTTAAGAGTCACAAAAGATCTAGAATACTAAGGACACACTGCTGCATGTATATTATCTAGATCTACAGTTACAACATAGCTCTCTAATTTTCCAAATCATTTCATAAATGAATGGCATTTAATTTAATTTAATTCATTTTTGCTTAATTATTTATGAGGAGTACCTACATTTTCCATTTTTTTGCCCCCAAATTCGGTTAAGCCTACAAAGTTTTCTCAAGTTCTTTGCAGACGTCAGCTCCTCCAAGCTCCTCCAAAGCCTGAGTTCTGACCTTTTGTCCTGATGTGACTAAAAGATTTCTCTCATATGTGTATTTTATATTCAACCGAGGTGAAGGAATTTTTTTGCTCACACCATTGAGAACTCCTTGAATTCTTATATCTTCGTATGACACTCTCAGGATTTGGTAGAGAGATACACTTGAAATAAATTCTCCATAAAATTATTTTAGTATCATTTTAAACACATTTCACTTCATCTGTGTCTTTCATGTATTTTCTTCTAATTTTCCTGTGCACAGAATCACACACACTCAATGTTCTTGAAATCTGTAAGCAATTCATGACCTGCATAAACTTGACCCTTACTTCCATCAGTTAGAAATGCTTCATTTATTGAGAATATGAGGTCACACTTAACTCATTGAAATGCCAAAAAATAAAGTAGAAATGCAATAATAAGTAATTAGTGCGAACTGTCAAACAGAGGAAAGGCTGGCCGTGTTGGACGCAAACAGTACCTGGGAAACAAGCTTTTAAAGAGCAAGAAAAATAATTAAGAATTTTAAATTATTTATTTAATAACCACACAGCTCTGAAGAAGCATTTCACAGAAAGTAACTGATTGTGACTAGCAATATCAGATATACAGAGATTAGAGACGCATGTGCAAACATTGAAGTGTTAGTTGCATTAACAATAATTAAATTTTTTTGAGATCGGGTCTCTCTTTAGCCCCTGTTGTCCTGGAACTCACTATGTAGACCATAATTAAATGTTTTTAAAAAGAAGTTTACACTCTGCTTTTATAGAGCAAAATAAAATAAATCACTCATACAAACAATTATACTGTAACTACAAACCTGTCACCCAACTTGGTATTGAACATCCCCATGATTCTTTACAGTTTTACTAGACAAATATACATGCCTTCCTGAGTTACAATCTCATTTCATTTATTTAGGTGATGGGAACAAGTTTTAGGGTGGATTTTTCTAAGTGCAATCACAGTCTTACTACTTTCTCCCAAAGTACTCCACACCTTACATAATGTCTCACAAGCAGGCTAAAATAGACACATGAGCATCCTCATATTAGTTCACTAACTTAATAAAGTTTTCTTGCCCTTGAACTCCTCTATGAGACACAATGCAATAATTGAATATAATATGTAACTAGATACAATCTACACAATTTTGTCATATTATCCTACCTGTTATAACACATAATCTGAGACATATAGTAAGTTCTTCAGTTTTTTCAATGTGTATTTACTTGCAGGTAATGATATTTATAGGTGCCTATTCCTTCTGTCAAAGTGAAAGAGTACAGAAGTTTAGTTAAGTGACCACTTGAGGCTTTAGCAAATAGATAGCCAAGGCTTAACTTCCATGGGGAATTATTACTATTTCCACAACATGTTTGTGCTTCAGCAAAGTAAATAACATCCCACAGTACAGACAATTAGATGAAATGGGAACATAACGCAAAAAGAATCGTCTCCCGTGGTCAGGTGGAGATGCAGAGAGAGGTGGTTTCTGCGAGTGCCATGCGGCTGCACCTCCAGCTCTATGTGGAATGTCAGAAAAGCACATTGTCTGTCCTAAGTGAGAAACCATTAATATTCAGCATTTGTAGACTGAACGTTGTGTATTGATTCCTGACATTTTGTTGATTTTGTAGTGTTTGTTGTTTTCTTCTCCCTCTCTTGAAATAATGAAATAACAGAAGTGAAGTTCTAGATTGACTCTGTGTTGTAATGCAGTGTTTGCAGAGGTCAGAAGAACATGTTGGATCCCCTTGAACTGGAGTTATGGACAGTTGTTAGCCACCATGTGGG